TGCAGGAGGCAGCGGAGTAATGATTCTCTCTCATCATTGATGTTTCTCTCTCTCCCTCCCCTTCCCTTCCTCTCTGAAATAAATAAAAATTATATTTTTTTTAAAAAGAAGTTTTAGTGCAAGGAGTTCCCCACACTGAAGTTGTTTTAATTCTCATTTTATATGTTTTACACGGAAAACAGAAGAAATAGTTTAAAAAAAAAAAACAAACACAAAAAAACACCAAATGAGAGCGCTAACACATGTGGCATCATTCTGGGCAGCTGAGAAAGTGGCCATTGCATAAAGGCAGAACTCACCAAGTACAAGGAACAGGTGGCTTCTTTCAAATAAAGACTCTGGGACAACAACAAATGGAAGTAGGTAAAGACACAGAATCCGATGCAATCACAACTCCTCCAAAAGGGATTTGCAGCCAGAGGCAGTTTTCTCAGAGCTAATAAAGATTAAAGCTTCGCTTTGGGGCCACTCTTGCGGCCCGTTCCCTCCAAGGCCCTGGCAGAGACCCCCCCAACAATCTTACATGGTTCGTCTTTACAAGGACCCCTAAGAGTATTATAAGTTTTAGGCCTTACAACCCTAATTCCCTTTAAGCCTGTAAACCAGTTCACCATCAAAACAAAACAGCGTATGTGTAGTGTGTTTAAAATTGTTTTTCAAGCCTGTATTTCAGACTTGCCTACATACTCAGATTGTGATCAGTTAAATCGATATTATCTTTGGAAACAAAGGTATTTCCATGTATACTCTGGGGCCAGATTCTTTCCCAGGCCTAGACCCTGCTCTGGCATTAAAAATCAGACTTTGGGTGTTCTGTCATCCAGACCAGTAGGAGGAAGGAAAAAAGACTCCAAGTTAAAATATTTACATTGTAATTGCCTAGTCATGTGGTAAAGATATGAGTCATATAAAGTTAAACCTGTTCTGCTTCAAGCTCAAGGTCCCTCTGAGAAGTGATTCTATCATCAGTAACAGGTAACACAGGAGACTTCAAAGCAGAAGAGAAAGACGGGGCAGCTAAGGTAACTTTCTAACTCCTTGAGTCACATAAACATGGCTTCTGTTTATGAATAGAAGTGTGATTTTAAAGAATATGACAAAGCTACATTAAAATGCAAGCAAAAAGAATGGCCAATAAAAATACATACATATATATATATATATATATATATATATATATATATATATATATATATATATTATAGATTTTAGCGAGAGGAAGGGAGAAGGATAGAGAGATTGAAACATCGATCGGCTGCCTCCTGCACACCCCACACTGTGGATTGAGCCCAAAACCTGGGCATCTGCCCTGACCGGGAATTGAACTGGTGCATGAGCTGATGATGCTCCCACACCGGTTGGGTTCCACTGAGGGATTTTTTTTTATGTTAATATTTTCTGACATCTGATTCCTTTATATCACCTTATCCTTGGTGATTTAGAATTTCTGCCATAGGGGCTTAGGAATTTGCCTTTTTATTCAATTCCTAGTTGATTTGGAAAAGCATCCTGATTTGGGAGCAACAACCTGGTTTACCTCACCTGAATACGTGTGAGATAAGAAAGCATCAAATGAATGTGTACTGCTCATCTATGTATACACCTAAGTGTCCATCAAAGTATACATTTAGGGACATACACTTTACTTCCCCCCCTCCGACCAGCAATGAAGTGCAAACTTCTGAAGTGTATATGGAAGAGAACTCTTAGGAGATAGTATAATTTTTTAAATATATATTTTATTGATTTTTTTTTTTACAGAGAGGAAAGGAGTGGGACAGAGAGAAACATTGATGAGAGAGAAACATCAATCAGCTGCCTCCTGCACCCCCCTCCTGGGGATGTGCCCGCAACCAAGGTACATGCCCTTGACTGGAATAGAACCTGGGACCTTTCAGTCCATAGGCCGATGCTCTATCCACTGAGCCAAATTGGTCAGGGTGAGAAAGTCTAATTTTTAAGAAGACAAAAGAAACAGGAGATTATTTTAAGACTTGTTTTTTACCCACAAAGGGTGATAAAATGAAAACATGCTACTTTTCAATTGACTTGGTAATTGCCCTGAGCATATTCAGTATGAACAATGATTGTTTGAGGATTGCAAGGACAGTGTCATTTAATAAAAAGAGGGTAACACTTTAAAGTTAAGAATATTGAAAAACGGGGCAATAAATTCCTATTAATGATTGTTCAGTGACCTGAAAATGCAACTAAACTTTTTTCAGGACCTGATTTTAGAAGGAACACTTCCCTACATCATTTTCCATATTTCCTTGTTGAATCCCATGATAGAGTAAGGTGACCAGACGTCCCCCGTTTGTTGGGACAGTCCAGATTTTTAACAATTTGTCCCGCCAAAAGTGGGATGTCTAGTCACCTTATACTAGAGCTCAGTCTTGAATAGTCAGTCCCAAAAGCACAAATATCGGGGCCACTTCTCTGAACTCAGTAATGTTACTTGCGTCTCTGTCAGCATTTAGATTCACAGGAATAAAGAGACAACCCCCTCACCCTCCCTCCAAGCTCAAATCCCTGATTTGTGGGCAGGGAAATAGGCCCCAGAGGGACTATATGACTCGCCAAGGCTCCACAACAGACCTGCACCTTCCCCAGTCACTTGACACTGTTTCCACACACACTTTCCTAGAAACACTTGTACTTGCAATGTGTTGCTTCACCCTCCTTTCACCTCTTCAAGTTTCTTCATGATCTCCACTGTTGTACATTCATTTTTCATGGGATTACACAAATTCGTGAAGTGAGACAAGTGTTTAATTTTTAAAAAATATTTCTTTTTATTGATTTCAGAGAGGAAGGGAGAGGGAGAGAGAAATAGAAACATCAATGATGTTGGCTGCCTCCTGCATGCCTCGCGCTGGGGATTTCCACTTGACAGAGGAGAGTCCAAATGTTGGAGGGTGTGGCTTGTTCATAGTTGCACAGCTGTACTAGTGAACTCTGGCTGCCATAGTGAATTACTACAGACTGGGTGGCGTAAGTCACAGGAATTTATTTCTACAGACTTTCTCAGTCTAAGATGATGGTTTGTTGATAAGAGCTCTCTTCCTGGCCTGCTTCTCATTTGGTCCTCACGTGGGAGAGGGTTTAGGAAAGGGTGAGAGGAAGAAGCAAATTCTCTGTTCTCTTCTTATAAAGGGCACTAATCCCATCATGAGGGCACCACCCTCAGGATCTTTTCTAATTCTAATTATTTCCCAAAGATCCCACCTCCAAACACCATCACAGTGGGGGGTGGGGATGGGGTCAAGGCTTCAACATATATGAACGTGCCGAAACCAGTTTGGCTCGGTGGATAGAGAGCTGGCCTGCGGACTTAAGTGTCCCAGGTTCGATTCCAGTCAAGGACATGTACCTTGGTTGCGGGCACTTCCCCAGTAGGGGTTGTGCAAGAGGCAGCTGATCAATGTTTCTCTCTTGGATGTTTCTAACTCTCTATCCCTCTCTCTTCCTCTCTGTAAAAAAATCAATAATATATATATATTATTGATTTAATATATATATATATATATATATATATATATATATATATATTTTTTTTTTTTTTTTAAGTATGGGAATCATCACTAAGGGAGCAAGCGCTATGGTGGAAAACAGCACTCTGGGGCCTTCTCTGGAGGTGATGCTATTACATCTCATTGAGCAGAGGATGAAGGCGGACGCTTCCAACAGGTACACGTTGGAGAGTGGCATTGCAGGCCTGGGAAGGGCCCTATCAGGGAAAGGTATGGGCTGCCTTTGGGGAATGGGGCAGAGCCTGTTTAACCAGCAGGCACGGTGCAGGGCGTGCACTGAGGCTGGAAAGCCCAGTGCACTCACTGCTCTCCGCTCTCTTTAACCTATGGACACCGTCTCTTCCTTTTGGCTGTTTTCTGGGACAGAGAGGCCCTGCTATTATTTATTTGGTGGAACCTAAAGGGGACTGAGCCAGGACTCTAAGCGGTGGGTCATCAATCACATGGCTATTGAAAGAAAACAAAGCCCTGGTGAGGGCGTGCCAATGGGGCAGCAGAATAGTGTTCCCAGCTGAAATGTAGCGGAGCCAGAAGGCACGTTGGCGAAAGCTGTTCTCTTGCTGGTGGTGATCTTGATTCGAAGGAGAAAGAAACACGATCTCTGCCTCTAAACGCAGGAAAAGGGGACCTGTCTGGGCTGAAAGGTCAAACTGTGGTCCTTGCACCACTGGTCTCCCGTGGGAAGCAGCTCCAATCTGGTGCGAGTGTCCCGGGGAGGAAGGGTAAGCAAGCATCAGGCCTAAGGAACAGAGGTCAAAAGCGTGGAAAACACAACCCAGGACCGCGGGGAGGAAAGGGGCGCGCCCTGCACAGGGGTCGGGAGGGGAGGAAACGGCATCCTTTACCCTCCCCTGTTTGGGGGAGGGCCTCCGCTAACCTGCCAGGACTGGGGGAGGAAAAAAAAAAATGCATCCTGGTTTTTAAATCCTGTTTTTTAATAAAAACCATTTTTCAGAACCAAAAGGAGGGCGGTACCCAAAGGAATCTGAACGTGCCCCGCAGGGGGCGGGGGGGCGGCGGAGCGGGGCGTGACCAGCGCTGCGGGGGATGAGGGGGACAGGGGGACTGACGATCGCGCGGTATTGTAGGCGGTCTTTGCGAGCTCGAACCCTGGGCCGAAGCGAGCGGGGAGCGCCCACCCCGACGCCGCACACCTCCGCACCTCCCGCGGCCCAGGGTCGGGCGGGGGCGGGGCTGTCAGCAGCCTGGGGGGCGGGGCCTGGCGGGCAGGCTCTCCCATTCCCTGATTGGGCCTGGGAAGGCCAGGAGGCGGTGTCTTGGCGAGGTTCCACGGGCCGCCATTGGGCCGAACGGGAGGAGGGCGTGGCTTTGTGAAGTCAGTTCCGGTCGCTGTAAAACCCCCTGGGCGGCGACTCACGGGCTTCAGACGCTTCTGGGTCGCGGAGCGAGAGGTCCGCTTCCCAGCGTGTGAGCTTCAGGCCGAGCGCGCGAGAGCGACCCGGAGGGATGGCGGCCACCGCCAGGAGCGCGGCCGCCGCCGCCGCGGCCACGGGCCGGTTCCTCGCCCTGCTGCTGCTGCTCGGGCTCATGGCGCCCACCGCGGCGCTGGCCGGCTACATCGAGGTGGGCAGCGGGGACGAGCGCCCGAGCGCCGGCCTCTCTCACCCGCCGGGGGAGCGCGGCCTGCGGGCGGGCGGGCTGGGGGCGAGCCGCGCGGGGAGGCGGGGGTCCGGGCTGGGGCGGGCCCGGCGCCCCCTCCCCCGCCCCTGCGTGGTGCAGCGCCGAGCGCCGGGGGGATGTCGGGCCGCCTCGGTCGCCGCAGAGGCCAAATGAAAGGCAATCGGGGCCGCGGGGGGCGGCGGGCGGACCGCCTCGGCCGCCGCAGCCTCCATCCCGCCCGTGGCCGGCCCCGCAGCTTGGTCGTCGGGGAACCCCGCGCGGTCCAGACGCCACCGCGTTCACCCTCCCCCCCCCACCTACCCCCTCCCGGGACCAGCCGAGCTTCGGTCCGCACCTCCGACCTGGGGCGGCGGGTGGTGAATGGGCAGCGCGCTCCCCGCGGGACAGTGTTGGCTTCTCCCCCTCTCCCTCCGGGCAGCGCGGCTGGGGCATCCTTTGTTGGCGGAGGTGGGCTCCGGGGTGGGGTGCTCAGCTCCCCGGTGTGGGGTGCTCAGCTCCCCGGTGTGGGGTGCTCAGCTCCCCGGTGTGGGGTGCTCAGCTCCCGGTGTGGGGTGCTCAGCTCCCCGGGCGAAGGGCGATCGCGCGCCCTGCCCGGCCGCGGGTGCCCCTCTGCCTCCCGCTCGCCCGCCTCCCCCTCCAGGAGGTCCTCCGCGCTGGGCACCCGGCCACGGAGGGGAATTCTTAAAATAGAGCTGATTGCCTGAGTCTGGGGGGGGAAATTAAAAAGGGGGAGACCCTCCTCTTGGTGGCCGGGGCTGCTGGGGTGCTCCCCCTTTTTTAAGAGTGGGTTTCCCCGAGGAGGGAAGGGGAAGGCTCCCTTTTGGTGATCCTACTTTTTTTGTTTGTTTCCCTGTCATTCTAGTCTCTTAACTAGTTGTGCATCGGGTCACCTTGCAGGCATTTTTGTGCCGCGAGCTGGTTCAGTGGCCTGGGTTGTGGGCGATGGTCGCTGGGGTCAGGGTGAGGAAACCCATCTGTTCCTGGGAAAACCTGGGACCTTATTTTATTTTTTATTTCAATTTTTCTTACCTGCCTTCTTGAAATGGCAGGGCCGGATGGAAGGAGTGTTTCTGGTGTGTGTGTGTGTGTGTGTGTGTGTGTGTGTGTGTGTGTGTGTGTGTCGTTTATATTCCTTTTCCCCTGTTCACTATTTTTTCTTTAAAAAAAAATGACCATTTCTGCGGAGTTAGCTGATTTCAGAGAGAAGTGAGATTGGATTTGATGACCCAAGGAATGGACAGGCTTCCTAATAAAAAGAAAAAAAAACCAAAAACCGCAAGTTAGAATGTGTTCTGCAGAATGCTTACACATTAGATTTATTTCCACGGGTGGACTAAATCTCACCAAGAACAAACTTTTTTTTTTTTTTTTTTTGCAGATGGAAGGGCTTAAACGTTTGTATTCTGATTAAAGCTTTAAGGAAAGGTTTAGAGGGAGGGGGAAAAATTCATTAGGGAGAAAAGGAACTTAGGTTTTAAGTGGAAAGAGTTTCTGTTGATAGAAAAATAGTTTTCAGTGATGATTGTTTTAGCTTCCGCACAGTGGTTAGTTAGATGTATGTCTTTAACATCCCTCCCCTCCCAATATGATGCCACATGAAGAAAGCAAGTTAGATCAGAGCGGTGGGAAGGGAAGGGGAAAAGGGATTTTGTATAGAATAGAGACCTTAGAGCTGACAAAAACCATTGTTCACGCTCTGACCTCACTTCTCAGGGGGATGAGTAACGTCAGGCACTGGTGAGTTCACCATAAAGGACTCATGGGTTGTAAAGAACATCTTCCTTTCAAGTGGAAGTGGAATATTAACGCTGGTATGCCTGCAAAGAAAGAACTAACAATATGAGCATTAGTTGTTGGATTAGATTTTGATTGGTACCCCCCAATATGGTTCAGTTGAAAAGTCTGGCTAGACGGTAGGAAATAAGACATTTCCCAGGAACGGTTTTTAAATGCTGTTTTATGGTAACTCCTGTGCTCGGGAACTATATTTTTTGCCCTCACTAAATTATTTTTCAAATGTTTTTTTTTTTTTTTTTCTTTTGCGAAGCAGGCAGAATTTTATTCATTTGCATATATTTTGATTTTTTACTTATTTGTTGTCAGGCAAAAGATTGCCTAAGCCTTAATTTAGATGAGTATGGCCTCAACGTGGATGTCTCTGGGAAGGCCCCTATTGAGATTCGCCAAAGGGACTCTAGCCAAATCCCCGATCAAGTTTCTTGGCACAGAATTATTAATTGGAGAATCTTCAATGTTGCTGGGTGTTGACTGGATTAATCGCTTACACCTGTTTAAAAAGAAGGAAAAAAACACCTCTGTACTCAGGGTCACTTCCTCTTTTAAATCCGAGACAAATCCTGTTGTGTGCAAGCTTCCATTTGGGATTCTCAAATGGTATTTGTGCTGAAACTCTGCACTGAGTATAAAGTGGACATTGAGACTTACGAGAGCCAGGACTTGAGTTCTTTCTGTCACGTTTAAAAGGAAGTGGGCCAGTTGATAGCCAATTTTCAGATAAGTCCAACTCCAACTGTGACAGCTGCAGCCAAAGGCAAAAAAGGCTTTTGTTGGTATATTTCGAGTGGTGGTATAGGTTATGTCTGATTATGACTTGGAGACAGGAATATCAGTCCTTATTTTATCATAGCTATCTTAGAAATCTTCTGATAAATATGACAAACTGAAGTTTTTTAACAGTCAGGTCCTCCTTTCAGAGAGGAAATTTGTTTCATCATCTAAACCCATCTGCCCCATATTTCCTATGAAAATTTAGCATTTGCCTGGAGGTGTGCTATCATTGTAAAATACACACCAGATTTTGAAGACTTAGATGAAAAAAAAATGCAAAATATCTCAATGCTTTTTACCTTGATTATATTAAAATGATAATATTTTAGATATTGGCAGAGTAAAATATATTAATGGTTTTGCTTGTTTCAATTTTTAATGTGGCCACTAGAAAATACTAATCTAGGGCTCACATATTTCTACTAGAGTGCTCATTTAAAAAAAATTATTTATTTCAGAGAGGAAGGGAGAGAGAAAGAGAGATAGAAAGGTCAATGATGAGAGAGAATCATTGATCATCTATCTGCCTCCTGCCCACCCCACACTGGGGATCAAGCCCCCAACCTGGGCATGTGATTGGACCTGGAATCAAATGATTGGACCTGGTTCGTAGGTTGATGCTCAATCACCGAGCCACGCCGGCCAGTCTGGATTGCTAATTTAACGTCTTGTTTGAGTTGGTCCTGCCTGTGTTGTTATTAGCATAATTTAAAATATATTGCTTTCCAAACCCTCTTCCCCCAATAAACTCTTGCTTGAAGTTGGCCCAGTGTGATTGTGTTTTCTTAGGACAGTTTTGAATGTTATTTGATCTCTTGCTTTTTTTTCAATTACATTTTATTTAGAAATAATTTCAAGCTTACATAAAATTGCAAAAATTGTACAAACAACTCTCACACCCTTTACCCAGATTCACCAGTTGTTAACATTTCCCCTACTTAGCATGCATTATTCATTCTGTTATGCATTTTTTTTTCTAAACTATTTGAGATTAAGTTGCATATATCATGCAGTTTACCTTTGGAAACTTGTGTTTTTCCTAAGAACCAAGGACATTGTCTTACATAACCTTAAAATAATTATCAACTTAATGAGATTTAACATTGATGCACTGATTTAATCAAATCAAATACTGTCTGTCTTCGTTTGTCAGCTGACCCAATAATATAAGACTTTTGAAAACATGGTTATTCTTAAAGCTAAAGAGCTTTAGAATTCTTGGCAGAATATGTGAAAGGTTATTAATTTTCTCCAAATAGAAAAATCAGTTTTTTAAACTCTGATATTGTTGACTTTGGGGGGGGGGGGGATTAAAAACTTTTCATAGTCTTTAATTATGTTATGTACCCTTACTGAATTCTCAGGTTTTTATATTTTCTTCTCTTTTTTAAAAATATATTTTTATTTATTTCAGAGAGGAAGGAGGAAAGAGAGAGAGAGAGAGAGAGGGAGGGAGGGAGGGAGAGAGAAACATCTATGATGAGAATTATTGATCGGCTGTCTCCTGCATGCCACCTGGGATAGATAGAACGTGCTACCCAGACCTAGAATCAAACCATGACCTACTGGTTCATAAGTCGATGCTCAACCACTGAGCCACACCAGCCTGCACTTTCTTGAAATAAGAACTTAAAGCTTAAATATTATATAGGCAGTGCTGTTCACTGTAAAGATAAAAATAAATACATGTAAACATGAGAAATGAAAAAGAATCTGAAATCCTGTTACTCATGGAAACCTCACAGCAAGCCTTATGGATCTTTCCGATAACATACATTTTATGTAAGTGGCATACGTTGCCTATTGAAGCTGGTACCTAACAAGTATTAATTTGAATTGCCCTAAACTGAACTATTGAAAGAAAATAAAAGTTACCTGTGTGATTAAAAAGTAGAAATAAAATTTTGCTTAGTCATTGTAGTCTCTGTGGAGGGGGTAATTTGAGAGAGAATTTGAAACCTTCCACAGTCCAATTTTCTTGAGTTTTTAAAAAATGAGATAAACTAGATTAATGCTTACTTATTTAATGAAGTGCATCTTGATCTGTGGCCCGAGATGGAAGGGGAATCAGGCAGGCGCATTCGGATAGATACGAGTTCCAGTCCTTTGTTTCAAATATGACTAGTAATGACTTTTGCTAAGGGAAGTTTTCTTCCATACGTACCGTGAAGTCTCTTAATGACATCTTTTTAAGCATAACTGAAATCTATTTTTATAAGAGAATTCTCACTTGTTAGTCATACAACTGGTGTCCGATGTTAGACAGTGCCTCAGTGAAAACAAATGCAGGGCTTTTTACTCCAGTGAATGCCCTAGCTTGTGACTTAGGCCCCACCTCAGGGATTCTCAGTGAGTACCTCTGGGATTCTCACTTC